CCATGTCCCCACACCATGTCCCCATGTCCCCACACCGTGTCCCCATGTCCCCACGCCATGTCCCCACGCCATGTCCCCACGCCATGTCCCCACACCGTGTCCCCACGCCGTGTCCCCAGGGCCGTCCCCGCCGTGCTGGCGGCGGTGGCGGTGACGTTGCCGGCGTGTCCCCGCAGGGGACGGGGAGCGGCAGCTGTCGGCCGAGGAGGAGGAGGCGCGGCGCATCGCCGACATGGGCAAGCCCGTGCTGGGCGACAACCGGCGCCTCGAGGTGGTCATCGAGGAGTCCTACGACTTCAAGGTGACACCGGGGGGTCCCTGGGGGTCCCCGGGGGGGTCCCGGGGGGGTCCCGGGGGTGGCTGACCCCTCCCCGTTGTCCCCGTTGTCCCCAGAACACGGTGGACAAGCTGATGAAGAAAACCAACCTGGCCACCGTCATCGGCACCCACTCGTGGCGGGAGCAGTTCCTGGAGGCCATCACCGTCAGCGCAGGTGGCACGGGGCCGTGGGTGTCCCCAGAGTGTCCCCAAAGTGTCCCCAGGGTGTCCCTGAGTGTCCCTGAGGTGTCCCCGAGGTGTCCCCGGGGTCCCCTTGGTGTCCTCAATGTCCCCAGGGTCTCCCTAGGGTCCCCTTGGTGTCCCCAAGGTCCTCCCTGGGTCTTCCCACCTTGCCCAGGGTCCCCTTGGTGTCCCCAGGTGTCCCCAGGGTGTCCCCAGCATCCCTTTAGTGTCCCCAGGGTGTCCCCTTGGTGTCCCCAGTGTCCCCGAGGTGTCCCCAGGGTGTCCCCAGTGTCCCCTTGGTGTCCCCAGTGTCCCCCCCGTGACTCCCCGCTGTCCCCGCGGCAGGTGACGAGGACGAGGACGACGAAGGCCGCGAGGAGCGGCTGCCGTCGTGCTTCGATTACGTCATGCACTTCCTGACGGTGTTCTGGAAGGTTCTGTTCGCCTGCGTCCCCCCCACGGCGCTGCTGGGGGGCTGGGCGGCCTTCGGCGTCTCCATCCTCCTCCTCGCGCTCCTCACCGCACTCATCGGCGACCTGGCCGCGCACTTCGGCTGCACCCTGGGCCTCAAGGACTCGGTCAACGCCGTCGTCTTCGTGGCCCTGGGCACCTCCATCCCCGGTGAGGGACACTGGGGACACCTTGGGGACATTGGGGACACCGGGGGGACATTGGGGATGGGACAAGGGTCAGCACCCAAGGACTCGGTCAACGCCGTCGTCTTTGTGGCCCTGGGCACCTCCATCCCCGGTGAGAGACACTGGGGACACCCTGGGGACATTGGGGACATCACGGGGACATTGGGGATGGGACAAGGGTCAGCACCCAAGGACTCCCTGACTCGGCCAACGCTGTCGTCTTTGTCACCTTCAGCATCCCCAATGTCCCCAATATGGCCAATGTCCTCAATGTCCCAAACGTCCCCCACCTCTCAAAGCCCCCGATGTCCCCCAGTGTCCCCATGACCCCCCAGTGTCCCCATCCCCGCAGCAGTGTCCCCACACCCCTGATGTCCCCATCAGTGTCCCCATCAGTGTCCCCATGTCCCCTGATGTCCCCATGTCCCCATCAGTGTCCTCATGTCCCCATCAGTGTCCCCATGTCCCCATCAGTGTCCCCACGTCCCCATCAGTGTCCCCATGTCCCCATCAGTGTCCCCATGTCCCCGCAGACACCTTTGCCATCAGTGTCCCCATGTCCCCATGATGTCCCCTGATGTCCCCATCAGTGTCCCCACGTCCCCATCAGTGTCCCCACGTCCCCATCAGTGTCCCCATGTCCCCGCAGACACCTTCCCCATCAGTGTCCCCATGTCCCCGCAGACACCTTCGCCAGCCGCGTGGCCGCTCTCCAGGACCCCTGCGCCGACGCCTCCATCGGGAACGTCACCGGCTCCAACGCCGTCAACGTCTTCCTGGGGCTGGGGCTGGCCTGGTCGGTGGCCGCCGTGTACTGGGCGGCTCAGGGACGCCCGTTCCGGGTGCCACCGGGCACGCTGGCCTTCCCCGTCACGCTCTTCACCATCTTCGCCTTCCTGGCCATCGCCGTGCTGCTGTGGCGGCGCCGGGCGCCCATCGGGGGAGAGCTGGGGGGTCCCCGCGCCCCCAAAGTGCTGACGGCCGGGCTCTTCCTGCTGCTCTGGCTGCTCTACGTGCTCTTCGCCAGTCTGGAGGCGTATTGTCACATTCAGGGGTTCTGAGGGGGAATGGGAGGGACTGGGAGGGACTGGGAGGGACTGGGAGGGACTGGGGGCATCCCTGGACCCTGTCATTGTCACATTCAGGGGTTCTGAGGGGGAATGGGAGGGACTGGGAGGGACTGGGAGGGACTGGGGGCATCCCTGGACCCCGTCATTGTCACATTCAGGGGTTCTGAGGGGGAATGGGAGGGACTGGGAGGACTGGGAGGGACTGGGAGGGACTGGGAGAGACTGGGAGAGACTGGGAGGATCCCTGGGTTCTGTCATTGTCACATTCAGGGGTTCTGAGGGGGAATGGGAGGGACTGGGAGGGACTGGGAGGGACTGGGGGGACACTGGGAGCACCCCTGATCCCTGTCACTGTCACATTCAGGGGTTTTGAGGGGGAACTGGGAGGGACTGGGAGCACTGGGAGGATCCCTGGACCCTGTCACTGTCACATTCAGGGGTTTTGAGGGGGTACTGGGAGGGACTGGGAGGGACTGGGAGAGACTGGGAGGGACTGGGAGAGACTGGGAGGATCCCTGGGTTCTGTCACTGTCACATTCAGGGGTTTTGAGGGGGAATGGGAGGGACTGGGAGCACTGGGAGGGGACTGGGAGGGACACTGGGAGGGGACTGAGCCCTGTCACTGTCACATCCAGGGGTACTGGGAGCACTGGGAGGGACTGGGAGGGGACTGGGAGCACTGGGAGGGACTGGGGGACACTGGAGGGGACTGGACCCCATCACTGCCACATTCAGGGGTTTTGAGGGGACTGGGAGCACTGGGGGGGAACTGGGAGCACTGGGAGGGAACTGGGAGCACTGGGGGGAACTGGGAGCACTGGG